AGCCCGAGGCTGGGAAAAGGAATTGTTACAGGGCTATTTGGAAAAGCTCAGCTTTGGGAAGAGGTCAGCTGTGTTGTTTGTGTCTTCGCAATGGGCTCTATTTTATTTTGTCAGCTTCCCTTATGTTTTGCAAATAGCTGCCACCTCTGTTAAGATGGGCTCTGCATTCTTTAGATATGTGTGTTCAAATTGCTCCTCCTGGGTCTGCCATGCAAGGAGACTAAAAACCCAGGACCACCCCTGCAGCTTCTGAAACTGGTGACATCGGATGCTCACCAAAACACCACCCACAAACAGTGAATCTGGAATGCACCATTGGGCTGAGGAGGAACCGGAGGATCACTTCAGACTGAGTGTTTTTATACAGCTGATCACAGTGCATGATTTTATTCCATTATATGCTTTTGCAGCTAAGAATAATTGTAAGGTGCAATAGTGATGATATTTTCCCTTACCCAGCTGACCCTGTCCCACTGAGCTCTCCAGCCTCCTTTTATAGGCAAGAGGCATAGGGAAAGAAAGGTGGCAGAGAAATTTAAAACACTTTGTATTGTAGAGAAGAGTGATGGAGCATATGTGGAGTGGTTAATAGCATGGTGCAAGTAACTGATGGCGCTGATATGTGGGGAATCGCCGTGTGAGCTCACACTAATTAAACCCTTAATCAGCACAGTGTAACCATCACCACTCAGGGAGATGCTGCCCTGGGTCTGGTGAGAGCTGTGGGTTACAACTGCTGCAAAAATCCCCCCAGCAGCAGAGCCTGGGGGAAATGAGTTCGGTGCCAGAGAACTGGAGGGAGGGGAGCAGCTCGTGCTTACGGAAATGCAGAACTGGCTGCATGAAACTTTCATGATGTTTCTGAGTTTCCCCATGTCGAGGCTTGGTGTAAATTCTGTGCTGCTTGTGGAGGTCAGTAGGGCAGCTCGCTGCGTATCGATCTTTCTCTCTGCGTTATCGTCGGGTGTAACTAAAAACAATCCAGGAGTGTATGCATGTGAGCCTGCATTCAGGCAGACAAATGCAAATCTCCTTCCTGTTCTGCAGGGTGAATTCCATCAAGGAAATTGGTTTTGGAGTGGAAGCCAGCCCCATTTTTTTTTTTTTTTTTCCCAGTAGAAGAAATAGAAACGTCAGGTTTCAGGACCGTATACATCTCTGCCTCTACACCAACAAAAAATAATCAGGCTCCCATCAAAACGTGTCCCCTCTTATCTTGACAGCTGCTGACAGTGATGGAGACTGACAGGTTTAAGAGATCAAACACAAGACAACCCATACTGCATTTCAAACCACCCGAGGCTCTTAAGAGCCGTTGTGACATCTGGAGGTCTCAGGAACACGAATGATGCTCGGCAACACCTCTGTCCACATCAACCCTCATTTAGAATCATAGAATCATTCGAGTTGGAAGGGGCCCTTAAAGACATCTGGTCCCACTCCCTGCACTGAACAGGGACACCCGCAGCTCCATCAGTGCTCAGAGCCATCCCCTCACCTTGGGTGTCTGCAGGGTTGGGGCATCACCACCTCTCTGGGCAACCTGTGCTGCTGCCTCACTGTCCTTAGTGTAAGAAATACCACTGTTATCAATTAATAGCTTTCTCCACTTTGAACTCACTATCCAACATGTGCACTACATGTGTTTCTCTGTTAGGGATCAGGCTGTCTTGAAGGCCGGAGGCCATGGGAATGGTGATAGGATATGCGAGATGAATATGGAGCTGTAAGAGGATGCCTTGTGCCAAATAGTACATTGGGAACATGACGTGGGTTCCACAGTGACACTGGAGGGAAACCACGAGCAATTGGACTCAAATGGTGCTCAGGGAATGCAGAGAACTCTCCCATTTGCAGCAAGGCTGGCTCACAACACAGTTATTTGAGGGTTATGCAACTGTTGGAGACTGCACGATGTGCTCTGGTGACTCAAGGTGAAGCAGGCTGCCTTTTCACCCCTCAGCTGTCAGTTTTCCAGGCTGCTGGCACGTATAGGCCTGAGAGCTGTGAAGGGCACCACTGGGCCTGGTGCAGGTGATGCTGCTCCCAGCAGTGCCAGCGTGTTAATGATGCAATAATGTGGTTACATTTCCCACTTTTCCAAGCACTAATACTGCGATTACTTCATCTCAATAATGTCCAGGCTCAGGCTGCCATGTTAGCTTCCTGAAGTGCAATTTACAGGCGTGATAAATTAGCCTTATATCTCGATCCTTCCTTTATCTGCTGTTCCTTTTTCTTCAAGAGCCGTGCAGATGTGGTACTCAGGGACGTGGTGTAGTGGGTGATGTTGGTGACGGGTGAACAGTCGGACCAAATGATCTCCGAGGTCTCTTTCAACCATAATGATTCTACGATTCTTACTCTAAAATAATATTAGGTGACCTCCAAGCATGGAATACAGCATGGAGAGGGTTGCCTGGATGGCCTCCGAATTGTCTGTGCCTTTTTTGTGTGGTTCTGTTTCACCAGCTCAGCCCAGGGCATTGGGCACAGTGCTGGCAGCTCATGTCCTCAGATCCTGAAAGGGATGGAGAGAGCAAATCTCCTCCTAGGACACAGCGAGTGGCACCTGAGCTGGGTGGCTGTGCCTGGTGACAGTGCTGAGCACCCTCACCAACTGCATGTCATACAGAGCACAGCTGCTCTGAGCTGGTTTACTCAGCACAATACAGAGGTGTCTGCTTTTGCTGTCAGTTGCTCTGAGCAATCCCAAGCAGAGCAGCTTGAAAGAGTGGAGAGTTTCTTGTCTCCACTCTTTCCTTTAAACAAATGGGCATTTTCTTTCTTTCTTTCTTTCTTTTTTTTTTTTTTTTTTTTTAGCAGCTAATGTTCATTTTGCGTGCGGGCACGCAGTTCCAATTCTGTTTGAGAATGCACACAGTGCAGTGCAAAAATAAAGATTGCATCTCATCCATAATGCATGCCCCAGCAATCCGCTTTAACAAATTACCCAAGTAGATTCCTCTGATGGGGCTAAGGGGAAAGGGGGGTGGGGGGAGGGATTGTAACAAGTATCTTTCTAAAGAAAGGAAAGGCAAACACGCACAAAAAGTAGGCAGCAGGGCTTTTCTCAAGAGGAATCGATTCAGAAAGCAGGCTGGGTGCTGGGCTTGGACAGGACAGCAGCCCTGAGATCCCTGACCTCCCTTCAGATCATTGCGCTCCATGGAGGGCACATCTTCAGGCTCTTAAAGTCGGGCAGAGGGGAAGAAGGGGTGCCCCTGTGTGTGAGGTTATCCTGCATGGGGGAACCCGTGTGCATGGGGGTACCCGTGTTGTACTGTGCTGGGGGTACCGTGATAGGAATGGGAGGGTGGTTGGACTAGATGATCTTGCAGGTCGTTTCCAACCTTGTGATTCTGTGATTCTGTGATTCTGTGATTCTGTGATTCTGTGATTCTGTGATTCTGTGATTCTGTGATTCTGTGATTCTGTGATTCTGTGGTTGTTGACACTTTATTTCCACCCATTGCAGATGTGAGCAGGAGGGCAGCGTGTGGCACTTTGCAGAGCGCAGTGCTGCCAGGTGAGGCTTCGTGTCAGAGTCAGCAGCCTGCAAAGCCTTTTGGCTTTGAGTGTCAACAGAACATCAAAAGGTGCTGCAGCTATTTCTGGTTTTGGTGGTGTTTTTTTGTTTTATTTTTCTTTCCTCCTCTCTTTTCCATATTGCAGCTTCTGTTGAATTTGGAAGTGATGACAGGAGCCGCTTTGTCTCGTTCAGGGTTGAGAATAAAGCCAGAGCGCAAGCAAGGTGTTGTGCACCTCGCTCAGCTCTGCAGGTGACATTCAGCAGGGTGTGAGCCCTGTCCTGCCTGAACCCCGGTGTGAATTGCACACCCCCCCAAAACGCAGCTTCGGTGAATTAAAATACCACCCTGTTCTACTGTGCTTTTGTTTTTAAACGCTTGACTGCATTAGCATTGATTTATTTTTAATACAACCAGCTGCTGCGATTTGGGGCATTGCTTCCGTTTGTTCGCTTTGGCGACTGTAATGACAGCTACAGGCACAGCCTGCAGGACAGGGGGCTGGTGGCAGGAATGTTGTGTGACACCAGCAGCGCCTTCACTCATTGCTTGTAGGGGCTTAAGGAGAAGGAAAAAGCATTCTCTTGCTTTTCTCGGCTGTTTCCAATCACCTTGCACATGAAATGGAAGCACAGACAGGAATTCCCTAAGTAAATGAGCCCCTCCTTTAATTCTATTTGCTTATGCCGCTGATTTTTCTCCCCCGTAATTATTTTTACAGGAAAACTTAATTCTGTGTAATGGGGACAAAGTTTAACACTCCATAAGCTTTGTCTGCTGCAGCCCTCCATCTGCTACGCTTTTTTAGCTTAATTGTTTTTAAACTGGCCCAGTAAATAGCGCGTTTAAGAGGCGCTCCTCGTCGAGATGCAATGCTTTGATCTCATAGAACTGTCTGGTTTTAAAGAGCTGATGATCCACCAGCATTTTTTTCTTCCCAGTAGGGAACCTGTCTGCCTCACCTGCCCTGCTCTGCCAGAGCTCCGTTCAGACTGATGGAAGGCAAAGGGGCTCAGGAGCAGAGCTGGGCACAGCAGGGACCAGCAGGAGTCAGTGACAAATCAGCTCAGGAAAAAAAGGAAACGTTTAATTTTTATTATTTAATCACAGATGGTGTAAGGGAAAAAAAAAAAAAAAGAAAAAAAGCTGCACGAAGACCAAGAGAGGGGTTGCACTATATATAGATGTACAGCTGTTTCCTTCAGGTGTTATAACTCAAAAACGTAGGATGATTAATTTTGAAAGTTGAAATGTATAGCAGATTCTGATTACATCTGAGTGTCTATAATTTAGCTACTTAGTAAAATTAACTTGACGTTTTTAGTGAGCTGTGAGGACAATAATGTGTGAAGAGACTGAAGAGCAAGTTTGACTGCATGCTCTTTCCTTACCTCCCCCCCTCACTTTTCAATTTGCAAAGTTAAAAATAAACTTTTTCACTTTTTTTCCTGCATCTTTCCTTTAATCCAGACAAATGAGTTTGCCTCCCCCTGCTGTCAGCTGCAGTCCAACGTTTTGCTTCGGAGCATCTCAGAAGGAGAGGTTGAGCACTGCGCAGCCAGGAGCAGGAACAGAGCTTTGGGCAGCCCAGGTAAGGAGCAGCCCAGCTTGGGATCTCATTGCTGTGCTTCAGAGAAAACCCAGTGCTGTGATTTTGGGAAAATCAGGCAGCTCAAAAGCGTGTGGCTGTTGTTCTACCTTTAATAAAACCCCACCAGCACACACAACCCTTGTGGGGAGCACAGCCAGCATTCAGTGAGCACAAACTCATTTTCCAGTGAAAGCCTCTTGCTCTTGCCTGTTCTCCAGAGCGCAGCGTGAAGGACCCAACAGAACCCAACTCTGTGCTGAGGTATCCCAGACCTCGTTGCCAACCTCTGTGGATGATGAGGGTAAGTTATCTTGTACAGCATCATCAACTTCAAACTCATTTTGTTCCACAGAGCCAGGACTGCGCCACGTTTTTGTAACCAACAAGCACTTTCAGTGCTTATGTGAGGGTTAAACTTAATGGTGTCCCAGCTCATGCTGTGCCACTACCTGCATAGAGTCTGTGTGGGCAGCTTGGACTGAGCTGTGGAAAAGGCAACAGAGGATGAAGGGAGCACAACCACATATGTGTGGTGCTGCCTGGCCAAAATATTGCTATGAGAGCACTTTTAAAAGTAATAATAAATGATTAGCTTTAAAATTAGGACATTTTGGAGTGTTTGTAGCAGAAAAATGGATTTCAAAACTGTCAAGCTGTGGTCTTTCTGCGAGGTCCTGTTCTCTTCGTATGGATTTGAGGGGTACAGAAGGGAGTGCAATGCTTGTGCCAACAGCAAAATGCCTTTTGATTGTGGCTGCTTGAAAGCAGGCTCTCAAAGGGAGAACTTAGCAGTGATGTGAGCAAACACAGCTGCAAGGGCTGCATTCCATTTGCTCCATGATGACAGACTCAGAGCTCTGTGCCCGCCGTACCGAAGATGCCCAGCCTTGCCTTCTTTGTTCAACAAGAGCTCGAAGTTCTGCCGTCTCAAACAAAACAACGCAAACAGATCTGTGATTATGTTAAAATTTAATTGAGTGGTCTGACCCTATACAGTACTTTCAGACCTAGCATCAATCTAACTTCCTAACAGGGCAGTGAGGAAGCACAGGAGGTGGCTTCCAGGAGAATCTTCCAGATGAGATTTAAATGCTTTTAAATACTGAACATTATTTATGTTACTATAAAGCAACGACAGCTGGCAAAACCATTCTTCTTTCACCTCTGTTCTGTCATTTCAGCAGTAGAGAAAAGGGCTGGAAGATGGATTGTGCTCTTGATTCTTTCAGGACCTGTATGACTACAACAACAAACAGCTGTATAACACAATATAAAATCTCAAATGAGCCAGCTTTAAAAAAAATCTGGGTTTTTTCAATAACTCCAGTACCATGTTTTTGTAATAAATATTAAAAACCAACATCTTTTACATTACAGAAAATGTTAAATAAGTTATTTACAAAAAAAAATTTCTTTTTGCTCTCCTCCCTCCCCACAGCTGGTTCTGTAAAAATATTCTTTCAGCTCTTTTAACATCAATAAATAGTAAGGCATAAAGAAGCAACCACCATGCAGAGGAACGGTCTGTCTTTATTAGTGGACCTTTCTCCTTCAGAGAATCCTTTTTTTGCTGGAATAGGAAGCTGGTTTTTGATTGTCAGCTGCTGGGACCTGGTTAGAAAAGCAATAATTAATACTGTTGTGCTGTACTGCACAGATCCAGTCCCTATCCCTGAGCTCTCATCCCACAAAAGAATCAGCAAATCCTGTGTTCAGCTGATCTACCCACAAAAGATGAGATTTCTGTAAGCAGAAAGACTTCATGTCCTCAACCTCCAACTCAGGTAGGACTGAGCCTGTGTAGGAGCTGCATAAGGAGGTGCTCAGAAGGTGCTGGTGATGAGGATAATAGAGAAGAGATTCACAAAAAGAGAGAGAAATTTAAGGGCGGGCTGGGAACCATACAGCCATTGAGAATGGAATGGTGTGAGGAGAAGGATGCGATTTAGGAGTGGAGAAGTATATTACAGCCTTCTGGGAGTGAAGTCAGAGCCTTCTGGGAGAAATCAAATCCAAACAGTGGATACTTAAACGCTCAAAGTAATTTAATGCTCTGCATCAGCAAAGAGCTGTTTGCAGAAGCTTCACCTATCAGGTCTGCATTTTAGGAAAACAGAAGCACCGGTTGTTAACCCACACTCAGGCTTTAAATAAAGATGCCTTTTGTGAACTTCTTCAGTAGACAGCTTATTGGACTGGGAGCTGATGAAAATAAACCATCGGAGAAGAAAAAAGACATCTGAATATTAATCTGGGGAAAAGTATCAGAAAAGAGAGAGGGTTTAGCTGTTTGCAGGGCCAGTCATGAAACTCTAATTCAAACATCAAGTAGTGCAGAATATTTATCGTGGCAACCTGCTGTCACCCAGACTTGATCTTAATGTTGTTCCAATTGCAAACCCAAAACAAATTGGACTAATTCTGCAAAATGCTACTGGCATAGCAGTGCCTATTTCTACTGAGCATGTCAAGGAATTAAGGGCAGCAGATACTTCACTTACTTCCAGGTTTCCTCTAGCCTTCTTCAGGACATCATGAGTTAAAACCACTGGAAACAAAGAGGCAATGATTACAGGACACTGCACTGCACTCAAAGTCTTACAATCAAATAATAAACGATGTACAAACTGACATCTATGAGCTGGGCAGCAGCCAGGCAACCGTACACAGCCCCATCACCACCACTTCAGCTTTCTTACTTAGCAAAACCCAGAACTGTTCCTCTGTCCAAAGCCCTGTTTGGGCTCAATCCAAGGCATCAAAGGAACGCTTTCGGTTCATTTTAAGAGAGATGGTGCATGATCTAACAGAGGTTAGGGGGAGAAGGAAGAAAATGGTGCAGTGGAGAGGTTATGTGGGATGATGGGCTGGGAAGACAAGGGATGGCGAAGAAGTCAGCCAGCTCCTCCTGCAGTTCAAGGACAAAGCAACCTAGATATGCTTGGGGGAAATCACATCAGTGGCTCGCTCTGAAGTGGCCCAAGCTTTCTCTGCTCATTCAGCTAGTTTGCCTCTGCAGGGAGAGAGCAAGACCTGTGAATGGAGGAGGGGATGCTTCTAAACAAAACTGATATTTAGAAATGTCAGGTTAAATATGTGATTCTCTAATCTGTGTCAGCTCCATAACTGCTGAAAAATACCATTCACAAGTGCCAATTTAATATTCCAGTCTCAAAAATAAACAATTTAGCCATAATAAAGATTTTTCATTACAATAATAAGAACCCAACAACTCCAAGGGTATAGCTGTCATGAGATAATTATACCCTTGGCGGATTGCTGCAATTTGGCACTGCATTGTTACATGTTCAGAGGTTCAGATGAGGTTTATAAGCATTACATTCTCTTGCCCAGAGAAAGCAGACAGAAGACTCTGAGCCATAAGAATGTTCCAGTCTCTGACTCTAATGTATTTAGGAATGCTAAACTAAATAACAGAAACCTGAAAATCCTCAGTGGAGTGACCAGCTAGCAGGGTACTTAGAGAATGAAGCCAAGCAAGGTCACCCACTGGAATGCCTGTGGTTGCTTACTAGCAAAACAAAACAAATCTAAGCATCATCATAAACTCCAGCCTATGATTCACCAGTTTTGTTGTTTGTACACAGATGCAATTTGGAAACATTTCTGAAATTGCTCTTTAAGGCACAGGTGACTTGACATCCATAATTCCCATAATCAATGAAACTTAAAGAATCTTGTATCTAAGTCTTTCTGTGCTCCTTGCTCATAAAGAGCTCTGCTAGTAAACTCACTTCACCTGGCAAACTAGATTTTTCTAAATCAAAAATATTAAATTCAGTCCATGAAGAGAATTTAGAGTATGTGACACTAATGGTGAAGCTGCTGGGAGGCAGGCAGGACTGCGCAGTACGGCTTCAGAATACACAGGTTTCATTTGATTAGGATCTAATTCTGGGTGTGAAATGGAGTGAGTAAAATAAGAGGGAGATGCTCTGTTTCCTCTCTGAAAGTGTGGATGGAAGGAGAGGCTGTGTCCATAAGGTTCAATCTCTGCTGATTTAAACCCTGCACAGCTCTACTGAAATTACCCACTGTCTGTCTGACACGTCACTGGAACTAGGAACTGACCAAAGCAAATCAGTTAATCTCTCCTGAGGGATTTTAGTGGCACAGACACAATAATAGCTTTGATTTGTTTATATGACAAATCCCAAACTGAGTTACTAAAAACCTAAACAAAATCTAATTTTAGATTTTGTGCAAGTAACTTGTACGTTATCTGGTACAGCACTTCTGGAGGAGATGATCAAAAACCAGCTCATAAGTGGTAAAAAAGCAACAATAATCTGTATGCAGGAGATATATGAAATTTAGACATACAAATTATAGGCTATGGAGCAAAATAACACAATGAGTTAAATAGGGGCAAAATAAATGACTTGAGGAACACAGTGTTACAATAAACAATAACTTTGCATGATGCAGAGCCTTTTACAATCTAGATTAACTACTGATAGAATGAATGCCATTCAGCACAGCCTAACAGCCTTCATTTTGCTGTTTCTCTAATTCAGTGGAAGCCATGAATTACAAAAAGGAAGAGCCATTGTAAGGCACACACTTACACTGGTCAATGATGACTTTCTCCATGTTTTCCTTCAGCTGGTTTGTAGAGTGCAAGCGTTTCACTGTGCTGTGTAACTTCTTCTCTTGCTCAGTCAGTTTCTTCCGCAATCGAAGTATTTCTGCTTTCATTCCTTCATCCTGCATCCAGAGATGATGATAATATATTAAAGCATTACAGAAATTATTTATACCCTCTTAACATTTAGACTTTAGGTTCAGTTTTTAACCACCAATTCTAAGCAGGTCATGGTTGGCACCCTGTAAAACAGGACTTCAAGTAGCCCTGATGCAGTCTGCTAATAATGCACTGATCTGAATTCCCCATGCAAAGTTAAGCTTATACATTTGTCTTGTTGTGCTGTGAGATAATAGTACCTTCTGGAATTCTCCCCCAGCACTTTGCTCTTTAGAAGAGCTGATTACTCCTGTGGGGCTAAACAGAAGGCAGCGAACACTCAGTATCTTTTGGGAGGCATTCTTTCATATACTGCATTTAAGACATCAGAAGCACTCTAATGATCATAGATCTCAGTATGTTGGATAAGAAGGTCTAAAAAAGAATTCTAAATAGACTCTAATTAAGAACTGTAGTAGAAACTCAGATCTCTCACACACGAGGTCAGATTTTCTGACTGATCCAGATCAGGGTTTAAATCATACAGAAGAAAAAGCCTTTGTCTGTGTGTATCTGTGACGTGCTCAGATCACCCA